TTTGGAAACATAACCTTATTCTTATCAAATAGAGCGTGTTAAGTTAGCCCTTCGTCACTCGCTCTGACGAAGGACTAACGCTCGAAACGTCAGCTTTTTAACTCTTTATGGTGGCCAATTTACAATTTCAACTTAGCTGATATTGAGATACAATGAATATATGAAGTTCATATAGTATATGAAGTTCATATAATATATGAAGTTCATAAAGTTCATTAGTTGATATTACCAAATTATATTATATTCATCGAAACACTGGTTTTCCAGAAATAAAATAGAAGAGTTAGAATCTCCATACATGTATATCAACAAAAACTGATATCAGTCCCTTCAATTTACCTGCTGTTGCTTGCTTTTGTCCACGAAGGAAATATTTTCCAAAATAAGTTGTAGGACCATTCCTAAGTACATGTATTTATATTTCACCAAATATAACTTGGCATTTGAATTTTTCTTTCTCTTGTAAAAGGCTGATGTGATTTTGAATGCTTTAACTTCGAATAAAGACTTGTCCTATCAAATTTTCAAGGAGAGTGAAAGTTTTGCAGATCTCATTTTCCAGTGGTACTGATTGCTTTGATATAATTGAATTCGTTAGGCTGCTGAAATCCAGTCTTAAATATCTGCTTTACTGGTAATAAATCCATGATTACCGTCACGAATGTAGAACAAAGTTTTCCACTATCTCAGTAAAAAAACTTACACTCATTCTTAAATACAATAGACAAGAATTTGTGGAAGGGTCAGTGGTAAGTGTAGTTTGGTGTAGTGGGGGTAGTTTGGTATGGTGAGTGTAGTTTGATGTATACGTAGTAGGTGTAGTAGATGTAGTTTGTTGTAGTTTGTTGTAGTGGGTTTAGTTTGCTGTGGTGCGGTGAAGCTTGGTGTGGTTTGGTAGAGTAGGTGTAGTTTGCTGTAGTTTGCTGTAGTTTGATTCCACAAGAAATACAAATTGCTGAACTTTTACTAATTTTTTAATGAAAACATTGATTAGAAATATTCCACAATGCAAAGGCATGGGAATTTTATATTCGTATTACTGTGGCATTTTAACAGTCCTTGTTAAGCTATCAACAGCCCGGGTATCGACCTTACCTAGCGGTCTTACTTCCGCGCTCGTTCTGCAACGAACTATGTGCTTGACGGCTATTCGGAACTGCTTACTTTGTAAAGCATACACGAACGGATTTATGCTGGAGTTCAACAACACCAGCAACTCCGTCACAAGATAACCAATCGAATGAAGAGCGGGGTTAGCAATGTAATAATTAAGGATATTTAACAACAAATTGGGAAACCAGCAAAATGCATAAACAACGTTCAGAGTGACTAGTATTTTTGTTACTCGCTTTCTGGAATTCAGACGAGCCAGTTGTGCTCCCTGTACGACTTGTCTCTCGCTGTACCATAGGTTGTGCACGATTCTACCATAAAATAACACCATAATACCAACAGGGATTACACCCACAAACATCAACCATAGGTAGTTATAACCAAGTCCTAGGCGATTGTCAGGCCAGTAACTTGCGCAAAAGAACCCAGTCTCAACTTGTTCGTCATTAAATTTGCGAACAACAAATAAAGGCGCGTTGAAAAGAAAGGCAAATAGCCAGCGCGATGCAACAAGGACGCCAACCCTTCTCTTTGTAACTCTATCTCTGCTGTGATGAGGCAAGACAATTGCGTAGAACCTACGGACAGTATTGTTTAAACAAGAAAGCACATCTTAATATGAAAAAATTAAAATATTAAACTAAGATTCAAGTATCACTGCATTGGTGTCAATGACCAGGGGTGGGAGAAGGGAAAGGGTTTTCGCAGTAAAATCTTGCTGATGTTTCACCCCGTATTCTACTCTTTTATAGTTTACCTTTTGCTTCCAGAGAAATTCTGTTAAACGGAAGAAAAAAAATGGATTTGCCGCGTTACCCTTTCAAAGCCTAATTTTCCGTCTGCTTCCCGCATGTCGTCGGGTGGAATCCCTTAGTATTCATACCCTTAACCTAAATTATTTTGGGCGCAGTATACCTTATAGTACAAGATCAATAACTAATTGTCAAGAGCGTTTGAACTTTCTCCAGATCTGTAGGAATTTCCAACACGTTCCCACGCAAGGAGAAATTCCTTAGAGTTTGATATTCATAATTTTCAGTGTTGAAAACATTTCAATCAAAAGAAGTGACACTATCACCTCCAAAAAAGCTCAATGTGACTTTCATAAATCCTTTCTTACAATCACAAGCTAAACTGAAAGGTGGAAAGGGAAGATAATGTTTGTAAGGCGATAAAAATAAGGCGATAAAGCGAATAAAAGAGTATGGATACACTTATTTCGGTGAATTCGCTACAAACAGTTACTCTCATTTTCAGTCGGAAACGTAAATCAATTTCCAATGCTTTTTGGACCAATTTCAATCGTACTCCAGGGGAAAAATCCCTCCCGACAAAATACCACTTTTCCTCCTTTTCTTAGTCGTTCACATGATCTTCACACCCTCTGATATGAAACTGCTTTCACACAGAAAATCTGAACGATGTTAATTCTAAGGCAGACCCCCCAAGAAACAGAACACCGTTCGAAAAGAAAGCCCTCAAAAACATACAAGTGAAATTGACAGGGCCTGAACCTGGACCCTGCCTCACTGGGCGTCTATATAGGGAGGGGGGGGGGAGATGTAAAGGAAGCAGAGGTCAAGGTATTTTGACGCTGAAAATTATAAGTTAGAAAGGCTTAATTAAATGTTTTAACTTCATCAGAATTAAATACAAAGCATGGTAAACGATTAAATCACCTCTCGAAAGCTAATGCTAGAAGCGTGCATACGGATGCCACGGACCCTACCCAGGAGAGGGTCTTTCCAGTCAAGAGCTTACACAGGTAATCACCTGCCAAGCCTCTGGGATGATGGGCCACGTGAAAGAAAACTTGGTCCACAACCATAAAAATAGCCACTGTTATGTCTGCCACAGCCAGGTTTCCTAATAAATAATTCACTGGAGTTCGCAAGTTTTTTTTAGTACGTTTGATCACCACGATAACCAAGAGATTGCCAATCAAGTTTGCAGGAAAAAAGATTCCTGTTTCTAAAGAACGTACTATTTCGAGGGATAAAGTCATTTTGGAGTATGGCAGGTACTTTGACCTCCAAACCCTTCAGTCTTTGAACCCTAGAAGAGTTACAAGATAAAACAGATCACAACAAATTATTCATCAAGAGTGGTAATCGGGATTTCATGTTACATGAATGTTCTGCAGGTGATCTTCTCTATCACGAGTACTATGGTACTGCTAAATCAAAACGAAATTGTATTGTGGCCTCCTTTAAATTACGAAAGACTCGACACTAGTTCAACGAACAAAACAAAAATATTAAACAAAATAAGCTGAGGGTAACACGCACTCATAAAACGACTCGCAAAATATAGAGAATAATCAATGTCGGTGTTATTTGGTCTTTTTTTATCATTAAATTATGAATTCATTTCTCCGTTACTACACCAAAATACTGCAAAAAATTGGGTTTTTAACGTCTTTTAATCGGCCTTTCATAGGTAAATAAGTAAATTTCGAAGATACAAAAAACAAAAAAAACAAAAAATTCACAAACCAGATGATAGATTGGTTGTTCATTAGTGGCTAATTGCCATTTACCTGTACACTACTGATGCAATCAAAGGCCTTTCTGGAGTAGAAATCCAGTTCAGTGGAAACGTGTACGTACTAGTTGCAGAGTAGTGATGAAGCGACACCTCTGGGGTGTCGCTTCGTCTTCGTATTTATTCTTCTCTAAAGATCTCAGTTCACCGCTGGAGTTGTTTATCTAATAGAAGTTTATTCTGATACGTCGCTGGTGATGACTTGACAGTTTATATCAGCTGAATATATACATGTGACAAGGAACTCAAATATTTTATATTAAAAAATGAGCAAAAAAGACATATAGCAAATTTATGATAAATGTAGTGACAACACGCAGGGCAGGCTATGACACGCATCAATGATTTCTCATCAAACAAATGATTTCACTCCATCAAAAATGTTTGAGCAGGAGGCAGATGATTTTGGAATAGAGCACAATAATTTGTCATGGCTTTATTGGTTTTACCTTCCATTCGATATTACCATAAGGGTTATTTATCCTTTTTTTTTTTATTTTTAATTCGTAGTTCCCCCATCAACGAGGACAAGCGATATCATAGCGTAAATGTTTAATCAGTTTAGCAGTCACAAAACATCGGTCGACGATCAGCGCACTCAACGTTGTAACTTGACCTAATCGCTCTGTACTCTTTCATAGCCAGCAGGCCCCGGATTCTAAGAAATCCTGGCGCATGAGTACTCGTTCTGCTGGTTCAACATTAAAACTTAAGGATCTTACTTTGATCTCCCGTAATCAAAATGGAAAGCAACATCTGAGCTGTGATCATGGTTAATGACCTCAGCACGTGCAATCGACATGATTTCAGTCTTACTTTTATCTCACAAACAGCATCAACGAAGGTGAAACTAATACATGTTAAGAAAACATGTTTACTTCTCCTGAAATCCTGTCTCATAAAGTCATATAATTGTCACATAAAATTGCACAAAAAAATGGAAATTAACGAGGTAGCTTTATTTTGCATTCGTCGTCTGGTCATTAACAATGGCAATTTTTTTTTGTAATCAAACACTTTTTAAGCTACGTTTATGGAGGTGTAATTTACGTTTTACAGAAAGCTTAAAATTCCTACTATTGTGAAATCTTAAAAATATCCTTGAAAAGCAATGTTCACCTGTACAAATAAGAGGCAAATTCAGGCAAAACGTCCCAGCTATTAGATCAGAATATGACTATATAGCCTTTCAGATCGTGCTGTTTCGCATTGGTAAAATTGTTTGATATTTCTTATTTGTTGTGATTTCTTGGCTTTGATTGAACTAGGTCACTTTTTATTTTCTGTGCCAAAAAGAACAGGAAACTGTCATTATTGTTGTACTGACTTAACCACAATATGTGCTTGTCTATTACATCTACAATCGACAATAGAAATAGCAATCATTACATGTGTGTATTCAATTAATCATGGGACGTGATTGTTCAATTTCACCTGTTCCCTGCGAGAGGGCCGTGGGCCGGTAAAATATCACTCTCGATAAACTAAGAGAAAATTTCACACCATACGCTTGGGATGGACGAGGCCAGTGAGTCTGCGGTACCTCACGTTTCTACAGTTTATGAAAAGAAATGAAATGGAACATAAGTGATCGCATTCGCAAACGTATATGGAGCGAAGTTAAGAATACACAACAACTTTCTTTCGATGGAAACGACCTTCAAAGTGCTATTCTCTATTGCTATTGCTTTAAACCTTGTTGGAAATGTATCGGTCATCTTAGTGATTTTATTACACAAGAGAATGCAGACTCCAATGAACTGTTTGTTAGCAAACTTAGCCATGGCTGACTCGATGGTCGGTCTTTTTTTGATACCGAGAACACTTCTTAATGATTTATATACGCACCCCGGCGGCTGGGTGGGAGATTTGTTATGTAAGCTTTTGACACATGCCTGCTTCACATATCTGGCTGCTGTGGCTTCAATGCTGACACTGATGTTCATTGCATGGGAAAGATACTACGCCGTGTTATATCCCCACAGCTCAAAGGGAAGAATTAATTCGAAGAAACTCCGTCTTTTAATCGCTTTGACTTGGATTATTGCGTGTGGTTATGCTTCCCTTGAGTTTTGGATCATATAGTTTGACGAAAAGAAGAACTCCTGCATTTAGGACTGGTCGGAAACGTTGTGGAAGATTGATGTGTTCGTCTGGTGTATCGTCCTGAGCTTGGGACCACTTGTAATCCAGGTTGGATTTTATTTGCGAGTGGTGTATCGCTTATGGGGAAAAAAGGCACAAGTCAGTGAAATCTCTCAGCGCTCACTGATGATGCAGAGGAAAAAGCTGACTAAAACTGTCATTGTCATATCTTTTATTAACATCATTTGTAGGCTTCCAATTGATTTCCACTACTTTCTATCTACGTTTGCTGGCGAGATCTTTACAACAGCAGATTGGTGGGTACCTATATCTTTCTCGGTCAGCCATTTAATGCTCGTTCTTAACTCTGCTGTTAATCCAGTCATATATGCTGCTCAGGATCGTAAATTCAGACAACACACAGTGCACTTACTGACGAACAGACATGGCCGAGGTAGAAGGGTGATGGACACAACAAGTGCTCTGGAATTAAGGAAACCATCATCCCGTTAGCCGACGTGTGTAGACAGGAAGATTAAATTGTCAAATGTACTCTTCACATTGAAGCACCAAGCATTTTAATTGAAGGGTGAAGGACACAGGAAGTGCTTTGAAATCTACGCAATCATTTTCCCGTTAACAGACGTGTTTAAACAGGAAGATGAAATTGTCAAATATGATCCCCCAGATTTCTCCACAGCAATTAAATATGTCATTAGCATATCTCAACTCACGCGCTAGTTTCATCAGCTGGATGTAACTGCTGATCACTGGATGCACTTTCTGATAACATCATCTTACAATTTGTGGAACGCTAATCTCCGGTCTTCCATGGATTAAACTTACACTTTCCCTCTTGTATGTAGCTATGCATAACTATTCAGATGCACCTAATAATCTGAGTGTCCTAAAAATACATTTCTTTTATTATTTTTTTTGCCACGAATTCATAGTTCCAAGAACTTCGTACCCATCAACGCACCGTATTCACTAGACCCTGAAAGAGGTTAATCACCAAACATGCTTACTGCATGGACCAATTACGTCTGGAAACAAGAGATTCTTTGGACTGCCATCACAAAGTTCGGTTTGGAAGCATTGTTCATAGTGTATATTACCGTCAGCAGTACTCCGTGTCAGCCGTGTCTGATTTCAAACAAAAATTACTTCTTTTGGAAACATAAACTTATTCTTATCAAATAGAGCGTGTTAAGTTGTGATCGGACGTCTAAATCTTTTAGAAAGGTTGATTCATTGTTGTTTCCACCTCAGAAAATCACTTAAATTTAAATATGATTCGATCAGGATAGCATGACTCAGTGTAAAGATAGCAAAAGGCACGATCTGCAACTGCGCGAACCATAGAGTGCATCAGAAAAGATTGTAGTTGACTTACTGAGCGTAACAAAGCAAACACACGTATCTTCTTCGGAATGCTGTAGTCTACGGAATGGGCTCAGTCCATCCCAGAGAAAATCCCAGGTAAAAAAGAAACTTATCTCACTTGAGACAAAGGAGCTGGACACCTGCCTTGGTATAGTGCCACTCATATCGTTTCTTTACTCGTCAATCCCCCCCCCCCCGATCTTCCGAAACAACGAAAAGGTATTGCCGACTTCGATTTCGATTCCTCGCGGGTGACTCGGATTTTTTTCCTGTTCTTCGCTCGACGCTTGTGACAATGAATAAAATCTTTATCTATTCAATGGATTCCTTGATATTGTGCAAGATTACCGTGTGTAGTTGAATCAAACAAGTGGCTTAGCAGCACAGTTACTTCTCTAACGTTTAACATTTTCGATGTAAAAGTTTAATACTTTCTACTTGTTACTGTTGATACTGAGATAAACGTTTGATCTGTTTCCTTTCAGACTCTGCAAATAAATACGAAATCAATAAATAGCAGCCAAAGACCTTTGTTTCACGTTACAATAGCAGATGCTCACTATATCCGGCCAATAAGGCAAATTTTTGTTATGAGTTGGGGTAACCCTTTTGCTGAAACACTTCAAATTAGTATTCTCTTGTAAATTCATCCCGTTCTCAAGCTGTCGACCCTTTTAATAGTTTTACACTGGCTGTGTGTCAAATAATCCTGACTTGGTTAGAAACGTCTGTTCATTCAGTTTATGCTCACAATTAAGAGTGTGTGTTTTCTTGGTGAGGTGAAGGATTGGGAAAGCCAGCAAAAATCTACAACGAAAACTACAGTGCTGCTTTTTATGTTGGAAACTCCCTGTTTCTATGTTTACAAATTGCGACGGGTTTAATGCCACTGAACATTGTGCAAACTTAGGTCCTTAACATAAACGTGTAATCTGCTGCGTTGCCCAATCATTCACCTCTCCTCACAGTGAAAAAAATTATATGCGTACGTTATCGTTGCCTTCTATGTTAAAGATGTATAAGGTAACACAATTTATTACCTGGGCGAAATTTAGATTCACAATTGATTTAAGCCTATTTCATAAATTTTCTTCCATTTTAAGGTAAAAGCCAATCGTCTGCATCACTTTGCGTAAGCTACCATGACAACGTTATCTCCTCTGAGAAACAACTGGTTAACATGACGATGTTTGTACACTAAACATTTGTTACCACCTACTATAACTGTTTTAAGCTGAGGGCTGTGCAGTCTATTAGTGTTTTTCTGAGAGCCATCTTTATATGTCAGGGTTTTCGTTCTTTCAAGGTCGTCATGTCCATCCATTCTTATTTCAGAATGACTGTTCTTGCAAGTAGGTCTTTGATTTTCGATCTTAGTACCATTTTCGCCACGTTTCAAATTAGATCGGGGAATCTCAAATGTTGAAGCATCTTCAGGTAATTTTGGAGGATCTTTGTCTTCCGGTTCAAGACGCAATTTCTTTACCTGCTGCAATACTGTTTCACTGCCAGCTCTCCTTCGCTTCCTAGTGCCTCCTATCTCGCTTTGTTCAGGTTGCCTTTTGGTTTTAGAAGTAACGTTCGCATTCGCATTTTTAACAACCTTTCTAGACGCATTTCGTGGAGAAACCTTGACTGTGGTCTTAGCCTGTTTTAATACCCCTTTTTTTCTGTGCGACTGCTGTTTCGCAGCATTAGCTACCACTTCTTTTGACTCATCTGTCACTTTAAGGTTACCCCTTGACTTACTTTGCTCTTTGAGTTGTGACATTAATGCTTGTGAACTTGTCTTCCTTCGGCCGTCGATGTCACTTTCACTACTGCCCTTGGCTTGAGTCGATGTTGTTTCACTCTCCGAATGACGTCCCAAGCTTCTCTCATCACGTGAATCAGATAAGTGATCACTTAAATCGCTGTTTCGAAGAGTGCACTTCCCAGCTGAGCCCTCATTCTTCGAATTCTCAATCGTAACGCGTTTAGGTAAACTTCCAGACACCGATACTTGCGAGCTCGCGCTTGCTTTCATTTTCTGCCCTACTACCATTTCAGAATCTTTCGCTAATTTCTTGTCTTCACTACTGTAGCTATTCTTCACTATTAACGTGCCATGAATGATTGACGGTTTTCTCGCCTTCACTATTGTTCGATGACTTTCAACACTACCTGAACTACCTTTGTTTTCCTTGCATTTTGACTCAATGTGAGGAGTAGAGTTTGGATCAGTTTTATTCGACTTGAAGTGGGAGCTCTGAGAACGACCCTCAGTTTTGCGTCTTGAGTTTGTGCTTCTCATTTTCCTTTTTATATCATCAACTTCCTGATGAGATCTACTACTTCGTGCTATCGCTGTTTCAGTGCTTCCTTTTACTTTGCTCCTTCTGTCATTACTCAGAGGGTTACAATCAGGAGAAGACCCGCTTCCTCATAAAGGGTTGTCTGTATGTTCCCTCTTTGTCTGAGAAGACCCCATTAGTTTAATATCCTTCTTGTTCGCTTTATTTAGAGCGTTCAAACCATCTTGTTTAACTTTTTCTTGTTTTGCAGCCGATTGTGTTCCACGAAGACTGTAATCATGAGCTTTAGTGTCAGTACCTGAAGACCCGCTGCTCAAAAGTGATCGCTTTTTCCTCATTTGACTTAACTTTGCTCGCAAATCGGACGTTTTAGCAGAAGACAAAGAAGCTCTTCCCTCATGTCCTGAATTTCCAGGTTCTCTGGACTTTTCCTTAAACGATTTCTCACGTAATTCAGCCGTCAACTGGCCCCTTATCAAACACAACTCTTTTTCTTTCCTTCTGAATTTATTTTTGCCTTCCCCTACTTCATTTTTGTGACGGGCTGTCTCTTGTTGGGTTCCCCGTGAAGAAGCTTTGATAGCAATCTCTACATCGGAGTCAGACGAAGAAAGTTCACCTTCTTCTTTATCTTCTTCATTCTGCTTTTGAGCCTCTAAAGCGCCTTCTTCCTCGGAAGTAATTTCACCTTCCTCGGAAGTAATTTCACCTTCCTCCTTATCTTCAATCTCCTTAAATTCATTCGTTTTCTTTGCGAACGAAACTCCTTCCTCCTTTTTTCTTTGATCAAGCTTTGCTCCACATTGTAGAGACGGACCTTTGCCACTGGATTTCAGATGGTCAGTCTTCCAAAACTCTGAAGTGGCGTTAGAGACAGTTTCTGGCTGTAGTTCTTTGTCAATCTTTTCCTCTTCGGTACTAACCACAACACAAGTAGCGGGAGAAATAGGGTCCCCTCTACTATCCACGGTAGAAGACCTAAGATTGCATCGATTTTCTTGTGAATCTGAGAATTCCCCTATAGTGGAATCAGATGGATTTAAAAACATGAGGGATGGGCGTTCATCCTTTTTGGCTTCAAGATCATATTCACCGTCCGCTTTCAAAGGTCCTGGCTGAGTGGCTTTTACTACCGCATTCTGGAGGATACTTCCAGTCTCGCTTACACTATCCAATCTAGTACTACATATGCTTTCTTTTGGCTGGAAGTCTCGATCGGAGTAGATAAGAGAGGAAGAAAAAGACGAGAATGCTGGTATCTCCTTACATGTAGTTGCCTCGGTAGTGGTGATGCACACGGATTGACTTGTGAAACATGTCTCGCTAACATGACAATCCCCACGAATAAAGTGCGAAGTCGTCTCTTGTGTATCTTCATTTGCCACGAGAAGACGGGCTGACCTTAATGCAAAGTTACTTTCTGTTCTTCTAAACCCTTCTGGTGCTTTATTCACTGTAGAGCGCTCATTACCTTTGAAGTTGACCGGATTTCCTTTTTCAATATTTTGACAATTCTCCGTATCTTTGTAATCCATATACAAACTTTCATCAGTTTCTCTTCCACTTGAAATCTGCCCAAGAGGACCTGTCCAATCATCACGACTAACCTATTCCAAGTCTTTACTTTCACTCTCCAATTGAATGATACCATCTAAAGCAAGTATGATATTTCTATTTTGGAATTTCTCGTCGGCGAAGACACTTTCCTCCTGTTCGTGCACTGCCTCTGCATTGTTCCCTTTTTCTGCTGTCGCTTTCGTTGCTCCACAAGTTTCGTTTACAGACGGCAAACCTGGTTCACGTGTGCTCAGACAAGATGAAATATCTACAGTCGAGTCCCTGCTAACTGAACCAATAAAATCATCAACTTTCTTTGAGGAGAGTGGTACACATTCGATGGACCCCTGTAGTTTCTCTACATTCTCTTCACTTTCCCCTGATTCATAGCACTCCAAGAGTGTCATAGGAGAATTTCTTTCAGCCACAGCTCGTTCAATTTGCTCTTTGTCGTGTTTCACATTATTTTCCCGACGAAGTAAAATGGTGTCATTATCCACAAGGCGAGAGTCACGTACAATAATAGCACCACAGTCCTTATCTTCCACAAATGGTACTGATGCTTCACCACAGTGGGCTGTTTCGAGACTTCCGCAAAGCTCCAATTTTGTTAAGTTTCTAGCATGAACCTCGATATAATGGGTCTCTCCTTGCATAATATTAGATCCATTAGCGTTTTCAGTCCTTTCGATTCGTTTCTCTCCATGGGTACAATGTAAAGGCCGTTCTTCCTTTACTGTCTCCCCACTCATTTCTGTCATGAATTCAAAATTGTGTGTCTGCGTGGGTTCTTGCTCGTTACCAATCTGAACGTTCTTTCCGTTACCATTGACACAGACACTTACACCTCTCGTTGGGGTTTTTATCGTTTGAAAATCAGACTTATTTTTTGATACTGAATTATCGCTTCCTTTAGAATCTTTTAGATCCTCAGACTCTTTACTTGCAGAATTTTCATCATCAGTTGTGAGAGGAGATTGGTGAGCATGATCCACAGGATGAAAGAAAGGAGTTTGTAAAGCTGTACTCAGGGCTTTTGCTGATGGTGACGAAGAATCTTCAAAAGCATCTTTAGAAACATCGCAAACCGATTCAACTGTATTGCTGCAGGTGGATTTACTACAATTGGAAGAAGGTTTGGCATTTGTACAAGGCAGGAACGTCTTCGTACTAGCCTGAAAATCAATAACAAACATTGTAGAGGAGTTTCTGTCAGCAGATTCGCTTTTCATGATCTCTTCTGTTATTTCATTTTCTAGCAGAGCATTTGCCGTCTTCTTCATTCTCTTTTTCTTTTTCTTTGTTTTTTCGGGAGACTCTTGCCTTTCAACTCTTTCTTCTAAGGTGTAAACCTCATCCACATCAAACAGAGCCTGAAATTAAAGAGTGAAATTGAAGAGTGAAAATCAAAGGGAGAAAGCTTTAGAAATATTTCAGCACCAAACCTATAAAAGCATCAAGTGAAATCTTTTAGCAACTGTAGATACCTGGCAAAAGGGAAAATTTATCTGAAACCCAATGAGTGATTTGCACTGCAAACAAATAGAATGCAACGTTGAGAAGGTCGTGGTTATTCACCATGGACGTGAATATTGTTTGTCTATATATTTCTAATGTGGATCAAAATTACGAATGTCACTTGAGATAGGTCTTTATTTTGGTAGAAATAAAGATGATTATTATCATTATCATTTTCAGTTTTAGTTTTAGTTTTAACGACTTTACCGGGTGTGACTAGACCCGGAAGGGTTAATGCGAACGGAACACAAGGTCCATGCGAGGCACCGCGCCTCCCCCCAATTCACCCTGGATAGACACTGCACAAAGATAGACCACAACACCGGGCACTACGTGCCCTACTCTTTTCGAGGAGTGTGTGGGTTCTTTAACGTCCCACAAATTTAAATCACATATAAGGGGTTGTGAGACGGGACCTCCATTTATCGTCCCTATCCGAGAAGACTAGAAAGTCTAACCGTTTGCAGAAATTATTGCAAAGGCAGCAATTTCTAATAAGTTATTTAAAGACCCTGAGTGTTGGTCCGGCCAGATTTGAACTCTCGACCTCCCGCACAACAGTCCGGCGCTATACCAATTGAGCTAACCGGGAGGCGGTTATTTCTGCATGGTGCTAACCATGAGGCATTTTTCCGGCAGAATCTCGAAACTATTGCTCTCGCCCTTAAGATCAATTTCTGTATAGTTTCACTCTTGACAACTCGAACAATGTATGTCAAAATGTAACGAGCAAAAAAGAATTTGTTCTTTTTGTCTACACAAAACGCGTCAGTTCAGTCAGTCAGTTCTCGCTAGGTTAGGTTACACTGAATACAAGGTATCTTGTCTTTATAACGCTTTAGGGGAATAATAGTTTATACAATACCAAATTCTCCAAACTAACATAATATGAATTGCATGACAGACAGTTAGGAGAATTAGTAATTAGATCTCTGGGGTGAAAGGGTTAAGGTCAAGTTATCAAAAGTCTACTGTATTGCAAAACATTCTATGCTGCTTGTGTACTCACAAGATTCATGTGTTTATCAAAAGCAACAAGGTATCCAGCCAGAACACTGCGCAGTCCTTTGTATCTCCTTGTCCACACTTGTATTCTGCGCCTCTCAGTAAGACAAGTGTGAAGTATTCTGAAAGGTCCTTGCCTAAGATCTGTGTAAACAGAAAACTCATATAATGGCCTTGAAATATACCTTTCAGTTTGGAAAATTTAAGAAATTGAATGCAGGAACAAGTGTTGATAATTTTAAAGTGAAAATAAGTACAAACATAATTAAAGAAAAAAAAACAGCAGAACAAATAGGACCTAAAATATTTAACTTGGGTAAATTGAAACATATAGTACACAACTTTAATATTAAGGCCATGCAAGTAAAGAACTCAGTACAAAGGACACTGTAGATGTACAAAGGAGGTTGAAAGTCTTAATGCAATATCACTAGATTTGAATCCTTCCCCCCTTCCCCCAAGCACTGTTGTAATCCACTTTGTAAACTATAGCAAGACATGGTAATTGTCTGGTTTTTACATGTACCAATATTGCTAGAGGGGTGAAGGGAGTTTCTATGTATATGCATGCCTCAGGAGGCAAACATTGGTCTTTTGTAATATAGTTGGATATTTATGTCATTTATTTATTTGAAATGTTTGGACAAGCTAGCCCAGTTAAGCTTTAGTGGAGGCATTGTGGTCGAGTGGTCAGCGTGTCGGACTCGCAATCCGTCGTTCCCGGGTTCAAGTCCCGCTCTGACCACTCCCTGGATTTGTTTCACAGTAGCTCCGAGTTCAAATCCTCGGCCATGCTTGTAAATAGCCAACTAGTTTGCCTCCAGCCAGTTGGGATTCTTAACAATATTATGTTGAATTTGAATTATTTGTTTACAGCCCACAGTGTAAACTACTGGGTTACCAGTAATTGTGTTAGCTACTAAAGTTCATTTGTTTTTGTTTTTTTTTAGAGCTGGTTTACATGGGCAGTGCTTTCAAAAAGACCTGGCACCTGCCGGAGCTCTAGCGGGTATTCTGTAGTGAGTCCCTGGGTATATTTCACTCGCTCAAGTCGCAGTCACCATGCTCAAGTCACTCTCCAGCCAGTGCTGTACCGAGGTAGCCACCTCTTTCATATCTCATTGAAAGCACTACATGGGGCCTGTAAAAACAGTAACAAGGCTGGACAACAACACCAGGAGCTATGTTCCCTACTCTTTGTGTGTAGTGTGTGGGTTCTTAGGTGTCCCCTGCAAACCAGTATAGAGAAGATGCAAGAGACAAGATCTATAGATTGTCATCCTTATCCAAGGAAACCGATAATGAAAACTGACCAAGCATGGTTGATACAGGACTACCACGACTCCTGTGTTCAAAATTACTATTCCATTGTAGGTCTCATTACTTTTAACAATTTTCAGGAAAGGTTCTTTACACTCTAATACCATACAACAGTCATACCTTTTACACACACTATGCACGAGTGCTTAGAGGCATGAGAAAAATGTAGAACAGATTGCAACAGGTTTACAACTGTCACACAAGTATTAAAGGGTTCACAATTAGGACTAAGTTGAGGGTGTATAGGTTGGTAAGTAGACACTTAATTCTTGAAGAGCTTCTCTCCACCCAGTATTACTGGCTGCAGCAAACAGTCAGGGAAACCAGATGAAAAGCTGGTTGGGAGGGGGGGGGGGAGTAACTAACAATGAAACAGCATCACATCCTGGGAGAGTAGAAACACTACTTTTCAGTTTGTATTGAAGACACTGGGACATGCTCTAGTGGAGTGAGCTGCTTGGGTTATTAGCAGACTTCAAGAAATGTGGGTATAAAGGACTTTAGTTTAGTGCATAAGTGTCAGATCACTTCGCTCAAAAGGTTGGACAATGTTAATATGAGGCTTCTCTACCTCAAGTTCCCTTGGTACCATATACAAAGCAGACAAGCATGCAAGGTTGTTGCCACCTAGTGAGCTGCAAAACTTTACATGCACCATATCAATCTGTTTGATCACACTTAAGCTGACTTGAAAGACATGTTATTTCATCAATCTAATATTTGAACATTTTGGGAATTATTGTTGCACTGATAAAAGTTTGAGATATTTTGCAAGAAGAACATACCTTTCTACATTGTTCAATCTCAAGCTCATGACAATCTTGCTTCAAAGCAAGAAACTTGGCATTTTCTAATTTTTCCTAACTCTATACAATGAAATCTATTCAAATTGCTCTGTATTAGAGGAAATAATGCATTAACAACAAAAGACCTTTTTTTCTTTTCATCTTGTTCAACACAAGTAGTAAAAAATTGTAAGAACATAAGGAATGCGCTTTGATGCCAGAAGCCCCTAAGGAACTTATTTTTCCCTATAACCTGGTACCTTTTGAAGTGATCAGTGACTTTAAATGATCATGAACTACTTCTCGGTATATATATGGAATCTACTTGAAGCATTGATGAATCGAACAGATTTTAACCTTTATTCAGTGTCATCACGGTGAATGTGTAGACAATAACTTGAATTTGTTATTGCCTAGCCACCTACAACACACTTTCACTACAGTTCTTTAAAATCACTCTGCCCAATGCTATCCTGAATTATATCATTATCAGCCCACAATAAACCCCTTATAAATTTGCTTAAGTCTTGCCCTGGACATGACCTCATTAACCTTCATATCAAAGAATTTCCCCTAACACTTAAGCAAAATTTATCCACAAATCTACTAAGTTCCAAACAAAGAAAAGTCAGAGTCATAAAACAGCCGAAGCGACCCTTACCTTCCATTTTTTGTATCACATCCATCCGTTTCTTCTTTCGTTGTTGTGCTTTAAAGGTTTCCTCGGCCAGCATAAATTCGCGCAGTTTTGTGTCTTCTAATCGCCCACCCATCTTCATCCCAGTTTTTCTGTCCTCGGCGGTACATGCTTTTGACTCAGCAATAGCCTTAAGTCTTTCTTGCAGAACTTCCTTCTCAGCTGGTTTGTACTCTGGTTTAAGATTTTTCGTTCTAGAGGCAGCATGTGGTGCTAAAGATTTCACACTTTGCGCTTTATTCCTCGTGGATACTGTAGTTGACTTCGTCTTTCCCTCTTTGATTGCAACTGCATATTCTACCAGATTATTGAATACTTTTATGTTAAGGATTGGTGGTTGAAGGTTTCTGTTGTATAGGGCTTTCAATGGATCGAACTTTGAGGATAAAAAATCCAATTTATCGTCCATCTCTATTCTAGAAGTTTTGGCCGCCATTTTGAACTGTAGTGGTTACTAAGCCTTCCTCCTGTATTCGTCTCCAGTAACGCGCGTCTAAAAGATAACACTAAAGAAGTCTTAATAAAGGCACCAAAAAGGCGCCTATCTCGATAGTTTCTTCCATGCCATCTGTTCAAGTAGCTAATTTGGCTTATAGAAGATCCTAGATCATATAAGATGGCCCGTAGGCAGTTTCGGCACCACATCTCTGACTTTGAAATTGATAATCCCGAATTTTGACTTTAAAATTTATCTTTCGACCTAGAAGTTTCTCATTTCGAGTCCGAATCTACTCATAATACGAAGTGAACACACCAACTCAAAGTTTTTCGACGAATTAACATGATGTCATGTTTTAAGAATCAAAGTACTCAACTCACAATATTTATTTGAAGTACGCCGGCATATGAAACAAAAATTATCCAGAAAATCGGCCAAACCCTTAATGGATGAATTTCATGTTTCACTCCGGCGTAAATACGAGGACCTTTCGAAAAAAAAATTCGCCGATGTGGACATTAAACACATTTTTTCTCAAGACTCTTTTAATTTTTTTTCCTTCTATCTATATTTCCTTAAGAAAACTGTCGAAGGAAGCCTTTCTTCTGGGGACAAGTACTGATGATTAGTATTATCTGTTTATTCACCTAACCGACAATAACAACAAAGCATATCTACCTTTGTCGTTTAAAAAGGCAGATCAGTATTTGTCGTTTTACAAGATGAATTCCTTCTCAATTTCAAATAAAGCTTTCTATAAAATTTACATACGTCAGACAAAATAACACAATAAAAGCCACCACTCTATTGAATAATTCATATTTACACTGGTATTTTAACAATAAAGACGGCCACGGCAAACACATGATGAGTCTTAGAAATTGTTGCTTTTTCATGTCTTCACGCTGGTTAAAACGAGTTGCTTCAAGTCTTTTTCTCCTTGGTTTGGTGGTTGCCATCGTTATATTATTGCTACCAGGAGAACACGAAAGAACTCGCTTTCCGAGAATATCAAACAAGACTTTCGATAATTCACATGATAAAAATGGAGGACCTCAACGACTAAACATGTCTGCGGCCGGAAAGGGAATGCTCGGGAATACAGCACCTTTATAAAAAGCACTTTATAAAATTATTTCGGGGTATACCAAATGGCGCCTCTTATTTATAACTGCTAAGTAAGAGGATTAATCTAAAGAAAAAAAATATAAAAGCGGAAAGCAACAATACGTCGACGTTCACGGTAGTTGAAACGTCTCTTGTCTTAATGAAAAATTTTAGGATGGCTGAAGGAGCATGACTTTTTCTCTTGCAAGGGACAAGGGATATCAACCAACGATGGAAACTGTAAAAGATATTCAGCTCAAGGAAATCAGATTTAGGACAAAGTGAGGAACACTCTTGGACTTCTTACCTATAGGCACTACTACATTTGACTATGCAAATTTTATTGTTATGATGGGCAAAGGAAACAGGAAGGATCATAACAACGTGCAGTTGTACACAACACAGCAGTTGTTCTTTGACGAGACAAGCTTTTGAATATATATGCTAATATTATATTTATGTTCTTTTAAACGCAATTTACTATTTCTAAAATGACCATTAAAGACGGTAAGGAACGGAAATAATCCGGTATATGACCGGTGAACATATCGGTAACGGCCCAACATTACAGCTAGAGGCTTTTTCAACACAGTCTACACATCAACACATTTTATATAACCACTTGAAAAGTCATTCTGGTTTAAAAATTCTATATTCATTGCAATACGGCCCTGTGTTTCTCGTCAAAGCAGTCAGTGAAATTCACGAATACAATTCTTTTTTTACATTTATCCGATAAACTACGAATAAAAGGTTTTGCTGTCTTCCAGAGCGTCTACACTTAAATCAAGAATTGTAAATAGAGACTGAGTGTCCGCCCCTCTTTTAAAATAATCCTCGTTTTCCTTGCTTTATTTAGCATCTCTCTGGGCTGCTGTTAAATAAACTCGGGCGTTTTTAAAAGAGTGAACGCCTAAAGTAAGCAATATGATGCAATTAAATAAGCAATGCAATGTAATAAGTCGTGATGTTAACTGACAGTGTATAAATTTTTTTCTGGCTGACCACATGGAAATTGACGAGTAGTCGAAGACAAACCACGATACAAGAGAGGGGAAAACCCGAAACTCATTCGTAGAGGGCACGAGAAAAACTCCACTATGGTAGTTGTAACCCTCAGACTGACATGATCTGTTGTCCATCATATACTATAGCCCTACCGCGAGGCTACTAAGTGTATAGTTCAGAGAGAGTAAAGTTTTCACGAAGAGCGGCTTTCACTGGGGAGCCCTGAGTTGGTTCTAATCTCCAGTATTGGTTTCAAGTTCAATTTGTTCCATTCAGTTAGAAATACTCTTTTGTCTCTTTCATCTCGGTGGTAATTAAGTTTTTGTTTCTCTACAAAGTCACTATAGAAACCTCCTTCCCAAAATGAAACGCTTTTCCCCCTTAACCATAATCGACTATCCCTTCCATTCTTAAAACGAAGTCAGTTCTCTCGTTGATTTTCTGCTCAAAATAAGTTGCGAGCAGGTATTTTGCAACCGCATATCTTCTTCAAAAAGCGCCAAATATATCGCCTAAAGTTACGATCTTGTGCTGCGTATATCACTGGATTACACGCAGCATTTAAAACTAACATTAAGTGAGCGACTGATTTGAAGAGTGGTGACCAAGAGCCTGTGTCCACAGCCACAGACTTACTTGCAAAACTTTCCACGAAGAAGTAGACATCGAGTGGAACACATAAGGCAAAGTTTACAATGGTTATGGATAGAACAACTTTTGTCAATTTCTTCCTCTGAAGCATTAAAGAACGCTTGGAAATATCCACGGTTTGTACGTTTCTACCCCATAGGCGATAAACCACACTGGAATAGAGGCCGGCCTCGACTCCAAGTGGCACTAAACCGAGGACAATACACCAAATGAACACATCGATTTTCCGAAGAGTATCAGACCAGTTATAGAAGCAAAATTTCTTCTCCTCGTCAAAATTAACAACCCAGAACGGAATCAACTCCAGGCTGAATGCAGCTACCCAAGAGACGGCTACCAACAGACGGAGTCTCCTGGCGTTGATTCGTCCGCGAGAGCTAAACGGATGAATCACAGCAAAATATCTTTCCCAAGCAATAAACACCAAAATTAAAATCGATGCTACCGCTGCTAAGTAAATGAAATTTCCGTTTGTTAATGTCTTGCATAAGATATCACCGGCTAATCCACTGGGATGTGTATAAAGACCAGCGTGAAATGTTCTTGGAAAAGAGAAAAATCCAACGAGAAAATCAGCCAAGGCGAGATTGGCTAACAAGCAGTTCATAGGAGTCTGCAATCTGCGGTGAGAAGAGACAACTGAGATAACCAGCGTGTTACCAAACAGACTTAATGCTATCGACACTCCGAATAATACTTGGAAGACAAGTGTGGTCGTCAATGGCATCTTTATCTTTGGTGTTTTACTCACGATTTAACATCGAACTTCCAAAAAACAAGATCTTCCGTCGTGTGGCTGTTATCTGAACTAGAGTCGGACTCTGTCTTTCGCGTGCCTATTACTGTTTGGTCCACATCCTTAAAAAAGAAAAACCTGCGCAATTGATTGGTGCCGTGTTATCATGATAAAAATACCTCGGTAAAACAAAAGTAAGGCAAATGGAAAAATCCCATTAAGTCAAAACATACACTTACTAATGCAAAGGTAGTTAAAAGCAGACAAAAATTGCTATAGATCGGCGGGGTGTTCAACTTAATATTTCATTGTATTCAGTACAAGTCCATTTTTTTTTTTTGCTTTCAAAAATAGTTGCAACATCATTTCTCCATTTTGTCTGTCGAGTGGGCCCACGGATCACGGATCCGTGGGCCCACTCGAAAAAACCTTTCTACCCGTGGAAGAGATAAAGAAGGTTCTTTAAAATAAACAGATTCGTTTGGGCGTTGGATAATTTGTAAAAACGCGATTAATAACTACTAATGGAAAAATTACTATTCATATTAATTAAGAAAATTGACAAGTTTAATCAAACACTGATTCCAGTATTGCGAATTGAGCGCTAGAAATGAAGGTAAAGATTAAAAGTGAAGGTGCCGCGTACAAGAAAATGTATTGTGTTCAATATTTCGTGAATTCTCCCGTACATCTTCCTTAATTTGCAAAAACAAGTTCAAGCAAATAAAAACTGAGGAAAATTCCGCTAAACAAACGTTGCAGAATTGTCCTACCTTCATCCAATAAAACACTGTCCTTTTTAAATCCGCAAACTTGAAAATTTGTTTCGCCGAAACACAAAAAAATCACTAATTCGCAAAATAAATTTCCAAAACAGAAACAAACCCTCTCTAAAACCATAACGAGATGGTTTTTTTTTTTTTTTTTATGCCACAAACCATTCGCGGGATCATTCTAATGTTTCTTCATACAATTCTTATAAATTGTCATTTTTAATAATTTATAGTGAGATGTTAACTTCACGCATTACTCGCAGACGGCGTTTAACGAGAATCAATCTGCGGTTAAGACTACATTTGAAAATCACCGATCTGCCATATGATACAAAAATACATAAAAAATGCATGTTCACTTTCCCAAATAAGTAATTATTCTCCTTTCTGCCCATTTTAAATACTTGAATCATATAAACAATTAATTGCCGCTATTCCCCAGACATCATTTGTTTCCGGGCATGATGGAATCCATGTTTAACTCTATTCCTTTAGAGCGCCCACTTACCAGAGTTACGTAATTACGATCGGTATACAATCAGCTTGCGAATAAAAACCTATGAAGCGACCGTGCCAATAAAAGTTTTTATATTGTTTCTACTCCCGTTAAGCGGCCATGAAGCATATCACACACGTTTTAAATTTGTATGCTGTTTTGAAAAAAATCAGTGATTTTGCAAATCGACACATGTTAATCATCCTAATGATGTTGCGAGGTTTTTGAAGTTACGTGATTGCATTCAAATTCAATCTTTTGTTTTGTTCACACTGTATTTCAATTTTTTTGATCAAACCACTAGTGAGAAGCCAACATATCTTTAAACTATTATGTGAACACACGTATTTGTGTCAGGGCAGCACATAATAAAACTTATGTAACGCTATTCCCACCAAGGCTGTGGTAAGCTCACATAGGCCGACTCATGGGAGCATACTGGCGGTCGTTTAGTGTAATGCAGCGAAATGCTTTCCCTGACCAATACAAAAATAACACATTTTAATCGTACATTCTGGGAGGAATAAGACCTTCGCAATTTTGCTTCAGAACCCTTCTTGTCAAAACGGACGAGTTCTTTATTTCATTACGCGTGATTAGCTATGGAAATTAAGTAAGCCGATGGGTTTCCTAGCATCATTTTACACTTTATGTATGGTCCCGAGGGAAACACTTGGTTTTGTTTTCCTGAGAGTTCTGACATCAGGACTCGAGAGAAAACAAAACAGACTAGTTTCCCGTGGGACCATACATTAAGTGCTTTGCTGTATATTTAGACTTTCCCGCTAACAATCATATGGCAAAAATATGGTGTTGCATTCAGCGCGCGGGCAACAACTACACAATTGTATCCCGGTCGGGAGACATTTGAATTTGACCAGGGGCACGTGACCAATATTTAACCAATCACAGTACTCGTTTTGTTGAGTGAAAGTCTGGGTATATAACAATATAATTTATAATCATCAAGACTTTGATTTCCCCTCCACAGTCGTAGATTGGATCCAATAGCTTGCGCACACTTTTAAAACCCTAAAGTTCTAAAAGTTCTAAGTCTTAAAGTTCTAAGTCACCACGAAGAGCTCAAGCCGTTGCTATGATTTACAATCCACATGCTAATCCATCGGCTCTAGGATCAGAACCAGACCAGTAAACATCCCGTTCAAGTCCATTGTTGCAAGGTGCTTTCTTACGAGTAATTATTTGACCCCGTCCAAAAACACTCCTGTTGTGGCCACACACTGGGTATGCAACTTTGTGTCCGAGTTCACTGAGCTCTTTGGCGACTTTTCCGGAAATACCGTCCTCAAGGAAAACGGACCCAAGGCCCTGACCTTCACTCTGGATACAAAATCTTGGCATGTCCAAGGCTTGTTGAGGGTCCATCCCAAAGTCGATCATATTAAGCAGGACCTGAAACAAGGACACAGCTAAAGTTTACACCTTGCCTTTACGGAAAAGAAAAAGGAAAGCAAAGAAAAAAGGAAAATTTATGAACCAGTATTATCATGACCGTGCAGCCCCGCGCACTTTTGTCGAGAAAACAATTATGAAAATATCGGTACGAACGCACGCGATGGTTCCAGAAGTGACAGAGGAAGGAGAAAAAGTAAAAGTCAGCAGCGTTCATACGATGAACTGCTTAATGATCGAGTCCGGTGGGCAGACGGGAACATTTTACCCTCGATTATGACATAACGACCCCGCTGCATTCGGTCATTATTTCTTAACCTTGAGCCAAATATTTCTCCCTACAGCCCTCCCACTCAGTCAATAAGTACAAACCATTCATGTGTCCGGCCCCATCTCACCTGCACATGTCCTTGTGGCTGCATAAAGCCTCCCATGACACCAAAACAAGCAAAAAGCTCCCCAGTATCCTCATGCGTACTCATACCAGGGATGATGGTGTGGTATGGCCTCTTCATTGGCTCAAGGACATTTGGATGGTCTGGACGAAGTGAAAAATTAGCGCCTCGATTCTGGAACAAGAGATTTTAAAATTAATTCCAGGATGTAAACTAATTTTACGTTCCATTTTAACAAATAATGACTGACTGGGACCAATGAATTTTCGATATCCTGTGGCTTCAATTACTTCAGTTTCTGTAGCGTGAGGCGACTAAAGGTGAAGGTTCTTGCCAATTTTTATATGAACTGGGCCATCCTGACCGAAAAATAGCAGTTTCCATAGGTTTTAATAACTGTTTGCTGGAGCGTATTGCTCACCAAGAATATGATTTAGTATATACTACAGCGATAGCGTTGAAAGCGCGCTCTGATTGGCTACTCAAACTCCTACTATCCTTGCTATTCACCTCCAAGGAACGTGCGCGGGATTTGCGCCCGAAAGTATTGTAACCGTTTCAGGAATAAATAAGTCAAATAAGCTTGTTGTGCTACATCTGAAACATGTGGTAAATTAAACGGACAAACACAATATTACAAGCAGAAACCACCAGCAACTTTAACTGCAATAGTTGATCGACCTTTATACACACGGTCATGATTATTTTACCATAGAAGTGAGACATACCACGAATAGTCAAAGTCTAATGATGGTAATACAAATAACGAGTAAAAATATTCAGCGATACGACACACCAAAACGTCTAGTGGGTTAATGATTATCCCACACGCCAAATTGTTATTTCAGTACGGGCGAATTTCGCGGATTTTCATTTACGGGGAGAACGTGACAGAAGAATGTGAAGCGAAACGAAATTGGCGCGTTGCTGCTCTTATTTTCTTCAATAAATGATCAATTTTCATTGTCGTCCGACTGCATTTCTTCGTTCGATTTATCTAATAAACTTAGATCAATATTATAACAGCCATTCGACTCTTCGTCGTCAGAACATAGTTAGGTCAGAAAAATAATTTAAATTGCCCGCCATTTTTTTTTGTAACTTCGATCCAATTCGTCGCTTGCGCGATGCGAGAAAACCTGTCTTGCCGGTTCTCAGTTGTACAAATACCGCGTGATAATTGTACTCGTCTCGGGCATTATTTGTACCTTACGGATTGTAGTTGAATAATAAAAGGTGATACTTAACAGGTAGTATACTTGTTTCAAACTAATGAAGGGAACTTACATCAACAGGTTCCAACCACTCATCAATGTCTATCTGGAGAACATTAGTTACTACCGGACAACCATACGCACATATGTCGATAGAAGCCGAACAATCCGCGAATGAATATAAGTGTAATGAACTTACATGAAGAGTAAATCCACAGCCTTCAGGAACCAGGCCTGTACCAAAGCTTTGGTAATTACTGTTGATGAAGGAACAAGCATTACCTTGAGCATCCACAACACTGAAATACACAGTGTCACTGCAACTGAATGGCGAACCTCGCTCATAGCTTCCTAACGCTCTGTAAAATAAATATATATACATGAAACAAACAAACAAACAAAAAAACAACACAATTAACAAAACAGGCTTGGAGTTGCGTCAAGAGTTACCTGACTCCCTCCCCTTACCCAGCAGAGCCGGCAGAGCCAGCAGAGCCAGCTGAGCCAGCAGAGCCAGCAGAGCCAGCAGAGCCAGCAGAGCCAGCAGAGCCAGCAGAGCCAGCTGAGCCAGCTGAGCCAGC